CACTCACAGAAGTCGCTGTGCCGTCGCTGTCTGTGGTGTCCCCCCCCTCGCTGTCCCTTCCCGTGTGTCCCCGACGACGTCGTCCCCTTGGTGGGGCCACCGTTGGGGGCCTCGGCCGAGCCCCGGGGCCGGGACAGGCCACTGCCACCCTCGGGCTGTCACCAGGGTCACCAGGGTCACCCCAGGGTCACACAGGGTCACCAGGGTCACCCCAGGGACAGGGACAGGCCACTGCCACCCTCGGGCTGTCACCAGGGTCACCCCAGGGTCACACAGGGTCACCAGGGTCACCCCAGGGACAGGGACATGCCACAGGCACCCTCGGGCTGTCCCCAGGGTCTCCCCAGTGTCCCCAGTGTCCCCCCAGTGTCCCCAGTGCCCCCTCACCTCTCCCCTCCGTCCCAGCAGCAGGTAGGTGGCCATGTCCCCATGTCCCTGTTTCCATGGTGTCCCTGTGTCCCCCCCATGTCCCCAATGTCCCCTGGGTGTCCCCAGTGTCCCCCCAGTGTCCCCCCAGTGTCCCCCGTGTCCCCAGTGTCCCCTCACCTCTCCCCTCCGTCCCAGCAGCAGGTACGTGGCCGTCACCTCGTTGTACTTGTGGGTGCTCAGGGCCTCCTTGATCTCCTCCCGGGTGTACCCCATGCCCACCATCACCTCTGGGGGGGACACGGGGGGTGGCAGCACGGACCCCATGTCCCCCTGTACCCCCCGTGTCCCCCCATGTCCCCCTGTGTCCCCCCCGTGTCCCCCATGTCCCTCTGCTCCCCCCATGACCCCCCCAGGTCCCCCTGTTCCCCTCATATTCCCCTGTCCCCCTTGTGTCCCCCCCATGTCCCTCTGTCCCTCCCATGTCCCCCATGCCCCCCCATGTCCCCCCCATGTCCCTCTGTCCCCACCATGTCCCCCTGTCCCTCCCATGTCCCCCCATGTCCCTCTGTCCCGCCCGTGTCCCACCCATGTCCTGGGGGTCCCCAGTGCCCCCAGTGTCCCCAGGGGGGTCAGGGGCATCCCCAGTGTCCCCAGGGGGGTCCCCAGTGCCCCCAGTGCCCCCGGGGGTGTCCCCAGTGCCCCCAGTGCCCCCCC